GGGCGTCAGCGGGCGTCAGCATTTGGGGGCAGAGTCTGGATTTGGCAAGGGATGAAGTCTGGACTTGGTTGCACAACGAGGAACGGACTGTGCGTTACTGAACTGAGCATTTAGAACCCTGGAAGGGGGAAATTTTTGTCATGTGTCTTCAGCTAGTTCTCCAAGTAAAAAGATCCTCCTACGTGCTCTAGGAAAATAATTCCAGGTAAGCTGTCATTTTGGAAAATCCCGGAACATAACAGATGCTCAACAAATCGCCACCTTGTTGTTGGTAAGGACAAGAGTCCAGCCACAGCGTCTTGTGGGTGTTAGAGGGAGCAAGGTGCTGGATCATGGCCTGTTCACCTCTGTGCTGAAGCTCATTCTGCTGTTACACAAGAGGCGAGCAGAGGGCTGCTCTGCCATGCTGGGGGTGGTGCTGGGACCCCTGGTGGTCAATTAAGTCCCGCTCCTTGATCACTGTTTGAAATCATTTGATGAGCAGGTTGAATTTCAAGGGCCTTGGGGGATCCAAATACTACTTGATGGAGCCATCCGTGGGACCTAGACGACTGGCTTTGATTTTACAAACAAGTATCCCCCAGTGTCAGGACGCTTCTGCCATTGCCCCCTGAGTTAATATGTGACCTTGGTCAATCCCTCACGTTCTTGAACCTCAGTTTTTTTCCTTTAAAATGAGAGTTTGGTCTAGAAATCTCCTCCACCTAATCATAGGTTCTAGTGAAGCCACAGAAGGGTGTGCACAGCCTCCCAGGTGGCACAGGCTAAAGCCATGCAGTGTCCTCGTCCCAAGGCCTCTGGACAGCTGAGACCCTGGGAAGCCCCCAGGCCCTGCACTAGAGGAGTACCGGGTGAGACCTTCCTGACATGGCTGCTGCCTTTAGGGGGCAGGGAGAGAAGGGCCAACTGTCCACGGCACTGATGGCGACACGCTCCACCCAATTCCCCCAGGACTGGTCTGAGTGCAGAACTCACTGCAGCAATGACTGTGACCGGAAGGCGTGCCATCAGGGCAAGTCCTGCAAAGGGCTTAAAAATGGAGCCTCCGAGAACCCTTGGAGGGAACAGTAGAGCTGTGACCACTGCAGAACCCAAAGGGTCTCAGAACTGGCCCTCAGCTGGGCAGTACTCGGCAGGAGCCCTGAGAGAAGCAATTAAACATGTAGCCGGTTCCCCCGGATCCCGGGATGGGGGGCATCTTGCATTTCTAGACTGATCTGCAGAGACGCTGACAGGTCAGGGTGAGGGATGGAAAGAGGAAGCCAGCAAGGCCAGCAAGTGATGGGTCATTCCCTGGGGCTTTCAAAATGAGATTAGAGGAAGTTGGAGGTTTGGCCCAATCCCTTGTTTTGCTGGGGAGGAATCTGAAGGCAGAGAAGTGAGTGACACCCTCATGCTCCTGAGGAAACTGGGCCACCTCTTTCAATGCCAAGCCCAGATCTTTACAAATAGTTTGAAATAGTCTCTGACACCAAGTGACTGCTTGGAAAGGTGACTCTGCACTGCAAAGGAGGGCCCACCAACCCAAGCTCACCTACAGTGGCCAGGACACCCAGGACCCTTCTTGTAAGGTACTCCCAGGAGAGGAGGCTGCCCAGCAAATCTGACCCTGCTGTGTAGTCGATGACCAATGAAGTGGTGTGGACCTGTCCTCTTCTTTTTCCATTCCACAGATACTTTGGAATGGGTAACGTATTGTTTACTATACAGGTTTCAAAACAGGCAGAACTGTTCCTGCGGCACTTACCTTCTAGTAGAGAAGATAATGAATAAGAGAGATACAAAATACATATGCTAGAAATTTGTCACAGACATAAAATAAACAGGAAAGGCAAATACGGAGAGCGTGTGGCCAAACTTTAGATAGGTATTGCAGGAGGCCTCACTGAGAAGGTGAAACTGAGCAGAGATCTAAAGGGAGCCGGGAGGAGGCTGAGAGAAGGGATGTGATGGACAGCAGGAGGAGGAGGTGGAGAGCATCTCGTGGACAGGGAGGGACATGGATGATAGATGGTTTGGGGATTGGATGGACAAGAGGATGGCAGGATGGGTAGGTGGATGGATAGGTGGATGAATAGTTGGATGGATGGATGGATGGATGGATGGATGGATGAGCAGGTGGATGGATAGATGTATGGATGGATGATGGATGGATAAATAGGTGGATGGGTAGATGCATTGGTGAATGGATGGTGGGTGGGCAGGTGGATGGAAGAATGAGTACATGTATGGAAGGTGGATGGATGAATTGGTGGATGGGTGGATGGGCTGGTGAATAGATGGATGAATGAATGGAAGAGCAGGTGAATGGGTAGGTGGATGGGTTGGTGAAGGGATGGATGGATGATGGATGGATGGATATATGAATGAAAGAATGGTTGGATGGTAGATGGGTTGGTGAATGGATGGTGGGTGGGCAAGTGGATGGAAGAATGAGTACATGTATGGAAGGTGGATGGATGAATGAATGGATGAGCAGGTGAATGGGTAGGTGGATGGGTTGGTGAAGGGATGGATGGATGGATGGATGGATATATGAATGAAAGAATGGGTGGATGGTAGATGGGTTGGTGAATGGATGGTGGATGGGCAAGTGGATGGAAGAATGAGTACATAGATGGATAGATGAACGGATGAATGGATAGGTGGATGAGCAGGTAGATGGAGGGTAGGTAGGCAGTGGTGGGTAGGTTGTGCACTGAATGAGTTGATGAATTCACAGATACTTACTCACATCAGCTTTATAACAGGATCCAGGACCATAGTTGACAGTTGTAACCTCTCACTCAGAGCACTCTAACTTCTCAAGGATTTTAAACCCAGAGATACTGATGAAACTTAGCTAATAATCATGGTAGCAGGTGACAGAGGCAGAGGTCAGGCCTTGCTCCTGGACAAGCTGGTGATATCACTTGTGGTTTATAGATGGGAACCTGGCACAGCTGCTGTTGTCGGATTGCTCAGAACCATCTCTTTTAGAACACCAGTTTAATCGTATCACTTCCCTGCATAAAACATTTCACTGGCTTCCCCTTGCCCTCAGGATAATTTCCCAACTCTCACTGTGACCGGCAGCCCTGACAGTCCCGGCGTCCTCCCCGTATGGATGAAGTGGCATGGCAGCCTAATGCCGCTCTAAGCTGAGCAATTTAAACATCAGCTCTTTATCGTGTCCTCTGAGTTCAGAGTTGGCTGTCCGCCCCTTCCCGGGACTCACCTGATCTCAGCTGGGTGCACACAGAAGTCTCTTGTCTCAGGTGTCAGCTCAGGGCTGGCTGGACCAGGATGGCCCTGGCTGGCACAGCTGGGCCTCTGCCTGGGCTTGTGCCCAGAGCTGTGGCAGAGGGACGGGGAGACAGACAGGCTTGTGGGCCTCTGGAGGCATAGGTGCTGCCAGGCCAGCCAGCTCTGGGGGTCAGGGAGGGGTGGGCCTGAACTCCAGCTCACTGGAAGCTGCGGCAAATTCCAAGTGAGAAGGCTGGGGAGAGCAGCCTCGGAGGATTCAAGCCCCACCCTTGGGCCTGCCTCACGGCCTTGTCCCTCCCTCCCACACAGCGTGTCTGCAGGACCTCTTGTCTACCCCTCCGTCTGCTCTAACTGTGCAACTGTCGGGGTCCGTTGGTGGGTGTCCCTCAGGACCCCTAGAGGCTAGACACCCACTTCCTGTCCAGGGGTGCAAGCTCACTGAAGCCTGTGGCTATGCCCTGGGTGGACCTGTGCAGTCCACCTGTCCTGAGGGTGATGCAGGATGCCACCTTCCTGGAGGATGGTGGCCTTGCTCTTGCTCTGGCCTGTGGCTGCCCACTGCCTGTGGCTGTGCCCTCCTGGGTTAGCTCCCCTGGAGGAGGTGAAGCTGCTGCGGACGTCCCTTCGGGCCTGCATGCCCACGACCTGGCAGCACATGTCCAAGGCCCCCAGAGGCTGGAAGATGGCAGCAGGTCCTGCTCTGGACTCCATGTACAGGCCATGCAGGTAGTCCCTGGGTGAAGGCTGGACAGCGCTGACCCCAGGGGCCTCAGGCTCCCTCTAATGGGGAGACTAATGGCTGTTTCTCGGGTTTGGTGAAGATTAACTTTGTATGTGTTAACCTGTGTCACGTGGCGGTTCCCAGTCGTGGTCCTGCCGACAGCCCCGGCCGTGTGTGTGTGTGTGTGTGTGTGTGTGTGTGTGTGTGTGTGTGTGTGTGTGTGTGTGTCGGGTCCCAGGGAGACTGGTGTGGAAGAAGGTCGACACAGTCTTTGTCCACGTGGAGTTCACAGTCCGGCAGGGTGGCAGT